ATCAATTTTGAAAGAGCATAATCAATTGCATATATGTGAATCGCAACCTTTAATTTGTATACTGTGTTTTAAGCTCAGGATTTATTCGAACAGGATGTATCTTTAATAAGTGTTCTCTTTCTAACACAGCTGACACATATAAATCAGTTAAAGAAAAAATGTCTTGATAAACACAAAAATCAAAAGTTACCAAACAAGTGTTCTTTGGAGTAAAGTCACAAAAAGCTTAGGCACTTCTTTCAAAGAAGTTGAATATCATCATTTTTTTAGGAATATATTGATAATTTAAGTGGTGCTGAAAATTGTTGCTGACAACATAATAGCTTTAACGAGGGCTTGGTACCTTTAGAACAACAGATCTGAGCTAGTGGTGCTGTCAACAGGAACACTGGTGCTGGAGCTGTCCCTGGAACAGCAAGTTTCATTTTGGTTAGCTGAAAAAGATGGAATTCAAATTTAAATCATACTGGTGCCTAATTATTTGAACACTTTCCTTGATTTTATGGAGTCAAACATTTTTCAATAGTCATTAAATATTGACAAAATGCTGAATATTGAAACAAGATTAAATGAAATTCAAAACTTCAATTAATTATTTTGTCCATTTTTGGGAAAGTCTGGTTTAGACAAACGGTTTTATTTTAAGCCTGATTCATAGTGCTGGGACAGAAGTTTATGTCACATTTCTTTTTACGCAGAATGCATAAAGAAAAAAAGAGGAGCTGCGAAAATGCACCATGTGGAGTAATTGCGAATAAGTTGCACCAAAGTATTATATGATATACTTATTCTAATGAATTCATTAAATTAAATGTCAATCATTAAAATTAGCTCCGTGCTGTCATGTAACTTGCTGTGATGTTATCAGATTTAGCTTAAATCATGTCACAGAAATCAAGAATATATTTCTGTATAAACAATATCAATGACAACAATGGATATACATGTACGTGGAGCCAAGATGGATTTCAGGTTTGAAAAATGCATTTGATTGTTGCCTAGAAATATAAACTTATGAAAGTGTTCTATTTTTTAGGTACATATATTAAATAACCTATCTCAAAATTTTGAGAATAACATACAAAGGTAAAACTTCAGCTGATGTTTCTGTATTTCCTTTTAAATGGTTTAAATATAAAATGATGTAATAGGACAAAGTTATTGTTAAAAGTTAACCCTTTAAGTCACTTCTCCCACCGGGGTTTCGTTACAAAATACACATAACGTTATGCCATACTGATATAGGTCACAGTCAACATAAACATGTAACGAACCCCTGTGCTTCTACCGTGCTATGTATGCCCTCGAAATATAGCTGTCTATAGCCAGAGACGTATTTTATCACCTCCGAAATATTAAGTTTTACATTCATTATCAGTAAATTCTTTCATTAAAAAGTCAAAATTTAAATAACTATCACGGGATAAAAAGTCAGTCATATTTGACAATGATGTATCATCCGACCAGATACTTACCTAATGCTGCTTGACATAAACAGATAAGCTTGCGACATCATCACTTACATGCATTCGTTTTCTATTGGTTTAGTCATGGTTGTTACACTGTGTAATGATTTGTCAAATCAGTGTCACACTCTCGGTCTCTCATCACCTAGGTAAACAACGTGGTTATCGATACCGGAAACTTGTCTGTTAAGTCGCACGCAAGCGCAGTACAGGTAAACTGGTTCCAGCGAGAGGGTCACAAGTCGTCACGGTTCGGTGCACAAACACAAGAGGTGGACAATACATACGCGAGACGAAAGTGGTGTTGCCAATCCCTGTTATCTAAGTCCGTGACTATAGTGTATTTACTGCGTATATACTGGTTTTATACGCCTCTGTTTAAACCGCCCGATGTTTGTTTTTTAAAACAAAACTTTTTTAAACAAAGTGTCTGATCAGAGACGTTTACGTTTCTGGTCTGATGTGCTGACAAAAAACGGAAGCTGAATCTTAATAAGAGCCAGTACAGATTGATTTAGATGGTTTTACTTCCGGTATTATACGTACGGCCTCGCGACCTTTCAGTAGACGACCAAGCAGTACGTACATGCGTGTGCTCTGGCTTTACTGAAATGGGCATGCCCAGGGGGCTAAACGTGAGGTACCGGTGAGAGGTAGTGCACCCACGCTGAGCTAAGGCCACCCCTGATAGCGATCATGGCCATCGTAACTAACACACCGGTCTGTTCTGGTTTACATATCCAGGTAAATTAGCAAAAAGGATTTGATATAAAGATGACTTCACACGTTAGGATTTACATTGTGATTTTGCTGAAATTATCATAAAATAGTTACAACTAGAAACGTAAATTTATGATTTTTGAGTAGAATAAAATGTGCTTAGAGATATAAAAGAAGTTAAAAAATATTATTTATTTTAGATAGATACAGTGTAAAGTTTGATTTGTCCTTTTGAAATTCGGGATGAATACTAAACTCATTCACCCTCTTGGCACACGAATCAGTTGATTATCTTATATCTGAAAGAAGTTACCTATAGTCACCATATAAAAGGACGGTTTTATATACTGGACATGTTTGTGCCAATTATAAGATATAAAACATACATTTTATTTCCTATCAAAATACCTCTGTGTTGCAGATTTAAGAAAGGAATATCTGAACAATAAAACTATAATGTACGTTAGAAAATTATTTTAAAAGAATTGTTGCCGTCATTCGTCAGATACTGAAGTCGGCGTTGATGACATCGGTACCGGCCAAACCCTCCCCCACACACTTTTTAAATGTTTACGGTAATAGTGATCTAAATCTCATTCGAATGAAATTAGCATAAAGTACATTCAGACATAATCATAGCGTTATTTCAAATTATAAACACTAATTCAACCCCCTAATCCCTTGTTATCTATGCTTTACAACCATACGTTTCCGACGCATAATGAAACGGGCATTAAGTGTACACCCCCGTGCACGGTGGTCGTCTATATACTTTCTCTGTTCAATACTATAATTGAATTAAAACGATACGTAAAATTCAATCAGAAACGTATAAAAAGTAGTATAAGCTATTTAATTAGTTACAATAATGATTGTTTGGACTTATCCTGATATGTTGGAGTAATCATTCTCCCTAAGTGTTGGTTGAGATACATCTAATTTATACTTCCTTAATTCTCAGATTTCTTTGGAGAATTTTAATCTAGATAGTCGACAAAGGACGTTTTCGTAACTCGCGGTGAATGGGACCCTATCGGCTGTGACGTCACAAGTTCAACGCCTCTATCAGTCATCATGGCAGGAATAGGCGAGTTACAGAACAGCCATGGCCATACAGCGTCAGATCGCGGATTAATGTTTTTTTTTAGTTTTGAGGAATCATATTGTGCTGAAGATAACATTATGTAGATTGTATTCAGCCATATAAAATTTGTCAGAATTTCCAGACAGTGAGTTTGATTGATATCAAACTGACGACTCTGAATAGGACGGACACTTCGGCCTTCCACGCAGGCGGCCGAGGTTCGATCCTCGAAGTCGTCAGAAGCATGGAATATAAGAAAAAGTGTTTTTCTCCTGCCGTCACAACTTTAACAACCCAGGTGTAGTATAACATGGTCTGGGGTGGATGTTGCGGTATCTGCGCTGTAGCATTCAAGTGAGGTGTCACTTTAAATGATGCCATTGGAAGCACGGTCCCACTACAAACAGAACACATCAAATCTCCAGAATACATACATAGGGAGATATTAGCCAGGTGGCATAGGTCTCGTAGTTAGCGCCTGATAAGGCAGCTCCTGCGAATTCCTCAAAATTGAATCGATTAATGTAAATGCTAATTGTATCAATTGTATATATATATATACTGTAAAGCGCTTTAGAGTGGCTTATATGTTAGCTAAACAGAGCGCTATAACAAATGCTGTATGTTATTATCAACACACACGGGAAGCATTGCGTGTCCTGATACGAAATTTGTGCAAATACTCTCAATGTTGTCGATCAAAAATGATTCTTTGATTTAGGCTGGAAAGGCAGTTTGCAATTAGTTTCTTTACTCTAAACAGACTATACACTTTATATTCTCTGCTCTACAGTCACATACTGTGGCACCGCTACGGTCCAAAAAAACCCGGAAATGTATCATTGAACAATGTTTACCTCAAATTATCTCAAAAACATAATTGAATTATAAGATTCAAACTTTTTCTCTTCATATACATGTAACAAACCCAAGTTATAATTTAAAATCTTGGTTCAATAATGAAAATCGTCTCGATCCACTCCCTTAGCCTACTTAGGTGTGACATTTGTGTACAGGTAAATAACACTAAACAACACCCGTGTCCAGTGCTGACAGCCATATGTATTGTTGATGTCGAAGAACCATTGTTCAAGACTATTCCGGTAGCTTAACATTGAAATAATATTTGGGGGAAATATAGAAATTAAAATAAAAGATAAGTGAGAAACCACCAACATCAGATATACTTTAAATCTTATGAATTCATAAAAAGGTTATGTGTTTTTACATCGTGTAGATTTAGTGATTAGATGATAATGTAATGTACTGTTGAGTTCCAAACGGATGCCATTAGAAGTTTAATTCCATTTCAAAATGATTATCAATATTCACGAAAAAATCGGGGGACAAATCTAAATCTCCGTCCGTTATTTGTCTGCTATGAACTGCGTTTTAGGAGCATATTTAACCAAACGGTATGTATGCGTTTGCGTTTCGTTTCCTATGCGTTTCCGTTGCGTTTGCGTTGCGTTTCCGTTCCGTTTGCGTTTCGTTTCCGTTGCGTTTCGTTTCCGTTGCGTTTGCGTTCAATTTGCGTTGCGTTTGCGTTTAAAAGAACAAGAAAAACGGTCCAGGGTCTGTATATGCACAAGCAAAACTGTGATTTTAAATGTAAACAGATACCTAGTCTATATGCCATTCAATGTATAGTATGGACACTAACACAAAACAGACAAAACACTACCTAGCGTCACGAATAAGTATAAAAGGACCCACAAATTCTCTTTCAGACATAACGGTGTGCTCAGATTACCTCGTGTCGGGACTGTATGGTGTGAAAAATTCGGCGTTGTACGTGTCTTCTTCATGGCTGAAGGAGGACCGTTATTACCATGGCGAAGCAAACAGCAGGCTATACAATGAAAGGAATGATAACAAACTCAAAACTGGTGCTTGGTCATCTCAATACAAAGATAATAAACAATTTATACAGGTAGTTACTGATGAGTTCAAGCCTTAAATTATCTCTGCAATATGCAAGAATATTTTACTCTTTGTATAACGTACGTATTCATATTCAGAATCTTAATTGATCTTAGCTGCACAAAGTTTTTGATTATTGAAATAACGAAAACATTAACGTAATGATTTATTATTGTACGAACAAAGCCAACCCACTCCCAAATATTTGTGCGAGATAACCTCTCATTCATTTTGCGTATATTGAAATTACTTTGTCTTTAAGGTGAAATTCCCGAGAGAAACTGAAGTAGAAACGATCTTGTTGCGAGGTCGAAATGAATTCTTTAACCAGTGGGTTAAAACCTATCATCTTTTGTACAGCATGGATGGTACCAATTGGACTACAGTGATGTCGGACGACAACCAACCTAGGGTAGGTTTTATCATAAAATAATGTATTTGATAGTATTTCATATGATGACGATATCAAAGCAATATCATAATTTCACTTTTTCCGACGTTGCAGACATCTCAAATTAAGTATACGGACCCATAAATCCGATAATTGAAGGAGTTATATGTGTGACGTAATTTTATGTAAATTAACACATCCCATTCAGCAGGGCATTTTTGAATTACATTATGATACAATGTTATAGTCCAAGTACATAGGATAGTCTATAGCCTTTTACATATACGTTTTACTCATTTTACAACAATTGTGAAACAAGTTATTCTTACTTATATTAATCACTCTTGTTGGCCCGGATATTAGCGCGCGGGGGTTATAAATGTTGAAGGAAACAAGAGTACCCATAGAAAACCTACAATGTACGTGGTCGAGCAGGCTAACTCATACCTTTGCACGTCCGAAAAGCTGCCTAAACTTGATATTCTTGTGGACATAAATACAAAATTTGAAAATCTTGATTCAAGTATGTGTTCATTGAAAGATGAATTAGCACATGTTGTTTCCGAAGTAGAACTGCAAAGAGATATCCTTGACAATGAGGAGAAACACCCCCATGAGATAGATCAACGGGTATCAGAAATGGAGATGCTCAACAGGGAACTCGAGACTGAGAACTACGAGCTTAGGGAACAATTTCTCAGACTTCAACCTCACTCAATGAAGTACAACTTAATATTTTCGGGTATCGCAAGCGAGGCGAGTATTGATGAGGAAACACAGAGGAAGTTCTCAAAACATTTTTCGAGCACCATCTGGAGATAATGGATGCCAAGAACATAGCGTTCCAAAACGTGCATCGTCTGCGCCCTCGTCGTGATGGCAAACCGAGGAGCATTATTGCCGAATTCGTAAATCACAACGATCTTGATCGTGTGCTTAAGGCCGCACCTGAAAAGCTTAGCAATAAACCGGAACACTCCATCAAGCTGCAGTATCCGACTAAGATCAGTGACCGCCGTTCTGCCCTCTATCCGATTATGAAAGAGTACATACGAAAGGGTGACACGGCCAAAATAGTGTACGATACATTATATGTGAACGGTAGCCCCTACCAACCAGCCGAATCATCTGGCAATCAGCGATGGGATACCCGCCCACCCCCGGCCAATCACCACCCTAACCATCGCGCACCCTCAGGCATCCACCACGCACCCCCTGGCGTTCACCGCGCAACCTCTGGCAGCCACCGCGCACCCTCTGGCAGGCATCGCGCACCCTCTGGCAGTCATCGCGCACCCTCTGGCAGTCAACGCGCACCCAATGAACACTACTACGACAATCAACGCGCACATGCACGTCTCGCCGATAATCGCGACCCTCTCGCTCCTAACAACGCCTTTCCTCCAGGACACGCGACTAACACCCTCCCATCAGATCCCCAACACGACACTCCGGCTCAACGAGAGACTGTCCTATAGGACACTACATCGGACACCTCAAACTTTGGACCAGATAAGTCCAATGAACTTAAGTTTGGCTTCCTAAATGTATGTGGTATAATATCTAAATTACTTGATCCCGAATTCCAAAACCTAATCATTAATTATGATGTTTTAATTTGTGCGGAAACAAAAATTGATGAATATGATGAACTGAATCTACCAAATGGTTATGTATCCTTTTCAAAATACAGAACTAAATTTAAACGTAAATCTGGAGGTATAACTGTTATCTTTAAGAAATGCTTATCCAATTACGTACGTTTTCATAAAACACAGTCTGAATATGTTCTGTGGCTTGAAATATCTAAAGACCTGTCTCTCCTAAATGAGAATATACTTACAGGTTGTGTATATATCCCTCCTGAGAATTCAAAGTATTCCTCAGACAGCGCATTCACAGAAATTGAGGATGAGTTGATTATGTTATCACATGAAAATAAAAAAATCATGCTTGTGGGCGATTTTAATTCTATAACTTCTAAAGTTGTAGATTATATTGAACCCGATGAAAATTTATTTGACATTTTAGACATTGCTGAAAACAATTTGATCATCGACAATATGTTTTCTTTCCAGAGATTAGTTCAACACGTATTAATAACTATGGGTCAAAACTAATCGAAATGTGCAAACGATGCTCTTTATTTATTGCAAATGGACGAGTTTCTTGTGATAAGTATATAGGGAGAACTACCTGTAAAGATTCTAGTGTTGTCGATTAACTTATATTGACTGCTGATTTGTTCCCGTTAATAACATATTTTGAAATTAATGATTTTAACCCACTCTTTTCAGACGTGCATAATCTAATAAATTTCTCGTGTATGTTTCCGGGAAAAAAAATATTCACGAAAAAGAAAGTCTTTCAGAGGGAGACTATATCAGATGGGATTACATGAAAACGGCAAATTTTTCACAAGAAGTGAAAAACAACTTACATAGAATAAATATAAATCTAAATAATGTTTTACTTAGTGATACTATCACCAAAGAACAGGTTAATGGTCTAGTGACCGACATATCCACTGTGTTCACAAATAGCGCCACTAATACAATAGGTGTGTCGCACCGTCGTAAAAATAAGTACAAAAATGTAAATAAGCCATGGTTTAACCACGATTGTAAACTTGCTAGAAACGCCTTTAATAAATATAAAATTAGATATAAATTTAACAAGTTAACGGAAACCAAGCACACGATGAATAAAAAAGGGAAAGAATACAGAAAACAACTAAGGAAAAATTACAAAAAATATCAAGAGAAATGCACAAAAGAATTAAGAGAGAATTCCAAACGAGATCCTAAAGCATTCTGGAAAACACTTAATACATTTTCACAAAATAAAAATACTACACCAGACATACCTATTGACGACCTATATGACTATTTTAAGAAACTTAATTCACTCGAAGAGGACAGTAATAATGAAGAGGTTGATAACGACAGTTTTGAAAATGATGATGACGTCAACAATACATTGAATGTACCAATTACTGAATCAGAAATACAAAAAGCTATCAAATCATTAAAAAATAATAAAGCGTCCGGCCCGGACCGCGTTTTAAATGAATATCTGAAAAATTCCCCACCGGAAATGACCATAGTCTATTGTAAATGTTTCAATATAATATTAGACACGGGAATTATTCCGGAAAGTTGGAGTGTCGGCATTATCAAACCAATATACAAAAAAAAGGGAAGTCCAGAAGACCCTGATAATTATAGAGCTATCACTTTAATTAGTTGTCTTGGTAAACTATTTACTTCAATCATCAATACCCGTCTTAATGAGTATGAAAAACAAATTGATTTAATATCTCGAAGTCAAGCAGGGTTCAGAAAAGGTCACTCAACTATAGACAACGTTTTTATTATGCATATTCTCATTTCTATATATCTTTCAAGTGGCAAAAAGCTATACTGTACCTTTATCGATTTTAAAAAGGCATTTGATACCGTCAGGAGAGCAGGTCTGTGGCAAACATTACATAGCAGCAATATAAACGGGAAATGTTTCAAAGTTATCTATAACATGTATAATAATATTAAATCCTGTGTTCAATTCAACTCGAAAACGTCAGATTTTTTCCCCTGCTTGATCGGGGTTAGACAAGGGGAAAATTTATCCCCCTTTCTTTTTTCAGTATTTCTTAATGACATTGAAAGTTATTTTGCTTCTTTAAGTTGTGTTCCACTCGAAAATGTACGGGATAAGCTGTATAATGAACTACATATTTTTGTAGAAATTTTTGTACTCCTATACGCTGATGACAGTGTCCTATTTTCAGAAAGTCCAGAGGGACTGCAGAGTGCTTTGAATGTATTCCAGCAGTATTGTAAGATTTGGAAGCTTAATATAAATGTAAATAAAACAAAAGTCATGGTTTTTCGCAAGAGGAAAAGTAAACAACAACATGTATTTGTATTACAAAATGAAATTTTAGAAATTGTAGATAATTTTACTTACTTAGGAATAACATTTAATTACAATGGCAGTTTTGTAAACGCAAGACGCAGATTGATCAACCAGGCCCAAAAGTCAATATTTGCTATCTACAAAAAAATCAGGAACCTTTCTCTTCCTATAGATTTACAATTAAAACTATTTGATTCTTTAGTGGAACCGATTCTATTGTATGGATCGGATGTATGGGGATTCGAAAACCTGAAAATAATCGAACAGATTCATCTCAAATTTTGTAAAAGAATTCTTAAAGTGAGATCCACAACGCCTAATTTTATGATTTATGGCGAGCTAGGTCGTGTGCCATTGGAAATAAATGTTAAACTAAGAATGTTAGGTTTTTGGAATAGAATAATTAGTAATGAAAACAAACTCAGCAGCATATTACTACGACTAGCTTTACATATGCAAAACGATGATACTCTTCAGTTCAAATGGATTAACTATATAAAAGGTATTTTCAATGAAACGGGATTTTCTTACATATTTGATAATAAATTACATATGCCTGATGGATTTTACAAATGCATTTTAAAACAACGGCTTAACGATCACTTTGTACAGCAATGGTTCGATGACATTACTAGCTCATCTCGTGGGCAGTTCTACACTCTATTTAAAACGGAATTTGGTCTAGAAAAATATTTATTAAATCTGCCAGAACATATCAGAACACCAATAACAAAACTGCGCACCTCGAATTTGAAGTTTCCAATTGAAACAGGTAGATGGTATAACATACCCCGAGATAATCGACTATGTAATTTGTGCGCGGAAAGTGTCGGAGATGAATTTCATTATATATTTGAATGTAATAATATAACTATATCCACCTTACGTAACAAATATATTCCCCGTTATTATTGCACAAACCCAAATATTTATAAGTTTAAAGGTCTTTTATCATTATGCAATCAACGAGTTCTGACAGGCTTATCTATTTTCCTAACCAAAATGGCTTCTCTTTTGTGAATGATGCATATGTATAACTGTTAATAGTTAAATAACTTGTGAATTATATGTATGGTTGTTTTTTATGTTTGTTTTGTATTTTCCATTGTATGTCATATCATGTTACTATACCGTACCGATTCTAAATTGAACTGTCCATTGTACTTCATTTTCCATATCTGCAACTTTATTTCCTCATGTAACACATATTATGTGTCTGAGTGTCAATACAATCTTGCTTGTATACATTCATGTACCTCATGTTACACATTTTCATGTGTCTGAGTGTTGGAAATAAAATCTGAAATCTGAAATCTGATTGAAGAATAGAAACCCGTCTGCCTTGTTGAAAGGCAAGTGTGATATCCACTGCGCAACCGACCTCCCAAACTAATGCCTTTTAAATGATATTTATTTCTAGCATGGTTTACAGAAAAGATTGGTTTCAGAATGATGTTTCAATTAATAAAGGGAGGCAATTTGTCCTTCTTCAAAAAGTTTTATTTTTGTGTCGATATAGAAAATATGACTCTTCATTTTTTTTTTTTAAATATGTCAACCTAAAAAACAGCCTATCGTTTCGACTGTATTTTGTCAGGTATTTACCGGAAACAATGACACGACCACCATAGTTAAGGCTAGCGTGGTCCCAAGTATCACTGCAGTGTACCTCCGGATTAATCCAAGGAGTTGGAACAATCATGTATCTCTCCGTTTTGACGTCAGTGGCTGTTACACCGTTAGGGAAACACGCAAACGTAAGAAACTTCATCAATGTTTTAAAAGATATAGCGTTACTATTAACCTGAATAATCTGAATTCCAGCTGCAAATACATGTAAAAATCTTGAAGCAAAATTTGATTATGCATGTTTCATATTCAAGCACTAATAAACAGGGAATCGTTGATTTACCACATTTATGTACATACGCCAGAATCGCCTACCCTTGGCTTGACTTCCCGTCGATGCTGAAGTAAAGGTATAAGCTGGGACTACACATACTTAAAAAAAAATCAGTTGATATTAAGATGTTGTTTCCGAAGTATTTACTTACTGGACTTATATTTCACAACCCTGTCATTTGTTTGCAAGGTGATTTGTTTTTTGATGAATGGAGTAACTAAGAACGTATCGTAAGGAAGATTATATTTTTTGGGAGATTTATATCTGTATCGAATTGTGAAAAAAAAAGTATTAGGGCTCATGTTGCTGATTAGAATTCATCTAAATAATAACCATTATATGTGCTGTTTCTTTTATTGAAGACATACACAAAGCTTTAGGATTCCAACCTGTCCTTAACGACGACACACTGTACAAGGTGAACGAACGTGATCATAACCAGTTAGACGCTGCCAGGCTCTGTACCAAACAGTATTCACAGCTCATCAAGATAGATTCCTTGTCATTGATGGCGAGTCTTCAGGCAGTCGTGGAGGGAAACGATATACTAAGTAAGAAAATGAAAACAAAACTTGACATCGGAAAAGGGCTAGCCCCTGCAGAATCTGTCTTCAATTCAATGACGTCATTTTTTTTCTGAAGGACGACATACTTAATGAAATCTGTTTGGATACGTCATGAACCTTTGGTCAGACGTCAGGAACCTGTGGTCAGACGTGGTCAGACGTCATGTACCTGTGGTCAGACGACATTCATGAGTTTAAGTTTTGATATCAGGTCAAAAGAATATCTTCCAATTATCACTGTATAAACATAACGTTAACACGACGTTATGTTCATACGTTACGAAATAACTGATGTCAACAATCAGATCTTTTCTTTATAAAGTAAACATGGAAAAGGTACTCATCTTTCTGGTGTTATTTATGATAAATCTTTAAAACGTTGGTAGGTTAATGCCATTAAAAAACCCTAATAACTTTCCGATACTAAATTACATTTTGCCATGCGCCCCGGTAAAATGCAAATTTCAAAATTGTATGAAGTCAAAGGCAACATTATGATATAGGTGTATTCATAAATATTCCATTAAAAATTACAAACAAAACATTTTTTCGTATTTTCAGGGAACGCCCACAATCAAATGTACGTATCCGGGAAGTATGTTGCTAATACGTGGCTGTACAGTGATGTCCCGGAAGTGATTGGCAGCGCCCTCTGGTCTCCAGGCAACCCTGACCCGACTCAAGGTCATTGTGTTATGTTGACATCAGCAGGCCTGGCTAGTGTGAATTGTTCTCAAGCTCTGTTCTCTGTGTGTGGACACATTTAAAGTAATTTATTTGTGGCTGTACGGTAGTGAAACTTGTTGATATCTGGCTGACAATTTCGAAAGAGAACAAAATTTGCCAAGAGACACATGCTTTTTTATGTTTTTTTTGCTTTGACAAGTCTTCCGAACAGGCCTATATTCCATTATTCCACAATTCCACACTTGCGTAACAAAAACATGCAAAATCTTATCTTAACCAAGAAAAACACTATTTTGTGTCGCCATTATATTTGAAAGGACAATTGAACTTTGTCATGCAAAAATATCCTTAATGCCTAAATTTCGGAAACTTTTAAAAGCCTGAGTGGAAAAAAATAAGAAAGAGTTTTGGTAACAATATATGCGACACAAGTAAAAAGTCCACATAATCAAAAGTGGGACCTAAATGGTGTTATACGAAACGCGAATATAGCAAGAATGAGTGCCAATGTAGGCTATCACCGATGAGGTTTATTGTTGTATTTACGTTGCTTGGAGTTATGGCATCATGATAATAACAATTATGATATGGGGGAGGGGGCAAAATCGTAACTGGCCTCTTTTTGACAAAAAACTACATGATATTTCTTGAAACTTGCTTCATAAGTTGCATGTTTTGAGTAATACTGAAGCTGAAACCGATAGAAATGGCTGAAAAAGTAGCATATTGTTGATGAGTACGCACCTATGGCCTTGTTATATATCGGCCTCATTATGTAAGCAATTCTCTTTTTTGTACATATGATAAATATCAGAACCCTATACTTATGTTACATTTTTATTTTATAAATGTCTTTACCAATTTTTAAGAATTTGGGGTCGAATTGAGCAGGGATGTGTGGGGTAGTGTGTTCATAGTTAAGAGGCTGATTCTTTGTTAATTGTATTGTTCAATAAATGATCTATAGTATAGACGTGCTTTAGTTATTTCTTTGGGGTTTGGAAGTAAGAGTATTTTTGATTGCCTAATGAGAGAAGAGATTTTATTAGATGGCTAGGTATATGAATAGAGGTTCCATCAGATGAAAAGCTCTCTCTTACTCTAGCGGTAGAAGTGGAAAGAACACATCGTAAATGTTAAACAGTGACCAAGCTAATTAAGTTTGGGCTTAGCTGCATACGTTATAATTACACTGTACTCCTTTATAGTTCATTGCCAAAATAAATTGGGCAGTTAACGTACTGATGATAGAACCAGAGTGACAGGTACCAAGACACAGATTTTACAAAGACGTCCGGGGTAACCAAGGCATAGGTTCCATAGCGTCTAGGGTGACATGGTCAACAGTTAGTCGCGGTAAAGGGTGACGTAGTCAAGGTATGTCGCGGTAAAGGGTGACGTAGTCAAGATGTGTCGCGGTAAAGGGTGACGTAGTCAAGGTTTGTCGCGGTAAAGGGTGACGTAATCAAGGTGTGTCGCGGTAAAGGGTTACATAGTCAAGGGTGTCACAGTAAGGCGGTATTTACCGTTGATACAGGGTGGCAGATATATTGTGATTCAGTGTTTTAGTTGGCTTTTTGTTTTGACTATATAAGTGTTAGTGTCATAGAGTAATAAATGTAAAATATCTACCGGGTGTAATTAAGGCATAGTTATTTGAATTATTAGCTAATAGTTTTTGGATCAGTTAGACGGCCATTGTTTTGTACTTATTGTCGGCATTCATTTGTTATAACAGCATCTTGATCAAAGATATAATTTGGTAACGAACAGTAGACACGCATCCGTTACAATACCTTCTTGAAACAGTTTAATTCATAATTATTATGATTCTGGCACAAAGGCCAAACAATAATTACAATAAGATATATATCTTATGTAATACATGCTACCGACTCTAATTTGGCTGTAAAAAATGTCAATGTTTTGAGCAAATTCAGATTTATTTACAGAGCAACAATAAATGAATGAAATAAATGGATGCAAATAAAATAATACATTTTTTTCGAACAATTAAACAATCATATTGCTTAAATCTATACATAATATTTATATTGCATGTTTCGGTGCTTTGTCCGTTTTGAACATCCGTTGATATGAAACAAATCATCTGGAAAAAATCCGGGGAGATAATCCTGGTTAGGTAAACATAATGGATTTTTTTACTACCCCCTTACACACACCTTGTGTACTTATTTCGGAAAGAGTATTATATATTGTAGGTTAAGAGGCCAAAATTGGCATCCATGCTTTTATCATCTATTTGTCTACGTCCATATGTTTACTTCTTATTATTTCATTACACATGTATCTAAGTTTCGTAAAATTTTGATTTCGAAAAGTTAAACACAGAAAACAAAATAATTGTTTACGTCAGCTAGTAAATAAAATAAATCATATAAAAAATCAGGTATATTGTTGAAAAGGGTGTTATCATACTTTTTTATGTGTCACTTATTCAGAAAAACAATTGTAGGATAAAAATTGATAGCCATCGAGTAATTTAGCACGTATCAAATATAGTATGCCAAAAAAGCTCAAAATATACTTAAATTTTTCATAATCATGCTGCTCTGACTTTTCAGATATGTATATTTAGCTTGATGTTTGATGCGAAGGTCTGCCATGCATTTTTCTTTTTAATTTGTTATCATGATTTGAATAAATATCTGGAAAAAAAATCCTGGTTGTTTTCTTAATGAATTCTCATTTTTTTCTAATTTGTCTGAAAACCTGAAGGTCAGACATGGGTAGTTTACCGTCTTTTATACTAGTGGCATTTCTTAGACGTCAAACGTCTGTATAAGAATATATAATAGAACCCGTCATTTCTTCCTTTTTTCAAGATTCTGTACAGGGGCAGGCCACCGATGAAAAATTAAACTGTTTCGGGACTCTGATAGTAAGCTGGGATATCCTTAGGAGGAACCAATCAGCTACCCCGATGCAATCTTTCGAACATCTGATGAGATTTTGCCCGTATTCACGAAATCGTTCTCATGTTCCAGCATGATTTTTTTGCTCCAGTCTAATTTCTTGTGCCAGTGATAAATAACTAAAATGAACATATTTTGCCAATGATATGTAAGAAATTTAAAGAGATTTTAGCCGAATGCTATTTTCAATGTTTAGAATTGACGTTTTGACCGTGTTTTAAGCTAGTTACATGTACAAGAAAGATTGTTTGAACACAGAATCAATCCATGAACATGCCGTCGGTCTCGGTGAATCTGAAATTATGTTTGTTATTTTGTATTGAAAGTCCGTCAATCTGTGATTCCAAAATGGTCCATTCCATCCATGTGTTTATGGCATGATAAATGATTTATCACATTGTAAATTGTCATATAAAGGTCAATATTTTGGTCTGAACCCATTACATTTTCACATTATATATATTGCTGTTGATCTTTTGTTTTGTTTCTTAATTTGCTATTTTCATCTGTATGACTTGTTCAGGACTAATGATCTATTATTATACTCCGGTCATGCCGAAAAAAAAGATTTTCTCAGAGGTACGAGCATTCTTAGGAGTATCCAGTGATTGTATATTTGTGAATTACATGATTTCGAGTTTTGCAGGAGACATCATAATCGGTGTCAGTAGAGTAACATGCAGGAGACATCATAATCGGTGTCAGTAGAGTAACAGGCAATCCCTCCCGGTTCTTTCCAGTTCATGATGTGGTTTCGGTTTTTGTGCATCGCTCTTTTTTCTTTTGTTATCTATTATAGTTGACTATGTTTTATAATTATCTTATGACCCCGACAAAGATACTTTGTCTGTTTCTATTCGTTCCTTGAAACTATTAACACAAAGGCGAGGGAATATTCGTACATTTACATCTTTGCATCTATTGTTTAGATAACTAAGACCACGGACAACTAACTTATCGAATCAAATCCAGAAGGGTAGCCAAAACACGAATCGTATAACTACCATCACAAAGAAAGTCATATAGAAAAGACTTCTGTCTATAAAGCGCATTTTGTCCTCTTTCTGCGAAATCCATAATAGCTCTTTCTCTTCATTACAAATCGTTTCCTCTGTTGCATTATAATCCTGCACCATTCCCGTATCTATCCTGCTGGGTGTCTTCGGCAGTATGTTTCAGTGAGGTAGCACTATAAAGTCGGCATCAGTTCTGCGCTATCACAAGGAGACAAACACGAACATATCGCAGCCTCCCAAAACACACACGCATATACTACACGCATGCATCTTGCACACAAGGGAGGCCGTCTACCACAAAAAAGATAACGAAGACTTTTTGCCTTTTTTAAGAATAACGCTGGTTCATCGTCATCCCTCCAATTTAACAGTGTTGTAGAAACCTTTTCAGTGTTGTGTATGCTCTGAGCACAAATATGACACTTTTGTAGTTATTATTTTCGCAACTGTTCCGGTATCATATATATTAACTCAGAACTGATAATTGTGTAAGTTGAGATTATGAGTCTGAATCTGTGTATATCTGAACACATGTATCACTTAAAAATGCAGAGACGATAACCAATAAAACAACAAGAGAGTACAATAGTGTCAACAAAACCAAAATACGAATTTAAAATCGATAAAACTGGAGCAAAATAGTAACAAAATAATAATGTACATGCAGACCATGAAAAAAGTACAGGGAAAATAAGACCAGGTGTTCCGAAAAGGCAAGTGTCTTCTGTTCCATCGATGACATCCGCCATGTAAATCTTTTTCGAATCGAAGTAATTTGACATCACATCAATCTGCTCTATTTACAAGAAGGTGAAAAAACACATTACTGTCTAATTCCAGATTTAAACGTGTTTTTGAGCAGAACGAAAAAAACACATCATCTAACACATTTCTGTCAGCATTGCTTACAGGGTTTCACCAGTAGCGTACTTTTAAACAAACACGTGGAACTGTGTTCCACTCACAAGACGCAGAGAGTAGAATTCCCCAGTGAAGACGATGCTCTCTTATCGTTTAAGGACTTTCAGAAACAAATGAAAGTACCATTCGTCATCTATGCTGATTTCGAAACATTTGTAGAGAAAATGGACTCCTGTGAGCCAAACCCAGACCATTCTAGCACGACTAAGAATACCATATTCGAACCCTGCGGGTTTGGATACCAAATCGTGTGTATGGAAGATAGATATACCAAACCACCCGTCATTTATAGGGGGGCTGACGTCAGCAAAACATTTTTGGAATGTATCGTAGAGGAAGAAAAACGAATCAAAAATATTTTAGGTCACCCAGAACCGCTAGTCATGTCTCTTCAGGACGAGCGGTCTTTTATGGAGAGTACTCGGTGTCACATCTGTGGTAAACATTTCACAGACGAAAGTAATGTGGTACGAGACCACTGTCATTTGAGCGGTACATTTCGCGGAGCCGCTCATAACGAATGTAATTTGAAGTATAAGTATCCCACTCACATACCTTGTGTTTTTCACAATTTAAAAGGTTTCGATGCTCACATCCTGACGGAAAGCCTAGGCAAATTTAAAGAACGCAATATCAATTGTATTCCGAACAATACTGAAAAGTACATTTCGGTTAGTCTTGGCGATATTAGATTCATAGATTCGTTTCAATTCATGTCTCAGAGTCTAGAGACTCTGACTGAAAATCTAGCCAAAGAGGGTTTGACGAAATTTAAAAACTTCTCTAGGGAGTTTACCGAATCAGAAGCCAAATTGCTACTAAGAAAAGGGATATATCCCTACGAATACGTAGACACTGCCGATAGATTCTCAGAACAAAAGCTCCCCTCAAAAGAGAAATTCTATAGTTCGCTGAGTCGATCAGACGTGTCAGATGCCGATTACGCACATGCACAGTCCGTGTGGGAGAAACTGAACATTCGAGACCTCGGTCAGTATCACGACCTCTACCTCAAGACGGACGTGCTACTATTAGCCGATGTCTTTGAGAACTTCAGACACATGTGTCTCGATTATTATGGGTTAGATGCAGCTCACTTCTATACCAGTCCAGGTCTGGCTTGGAGTGCAGCCTTGAAAATGACGGGAGTGAGGTTGGAACTCATCAGAGATCCAGACATGTATCTCTTCTTTGAAAACGGAGTGAGAGGTGGGGTTAGCATGATATCAAACAAATACGCGCAAGCTAACAATCCTGACATTCCAGAAACGTACGACCTCTCCCAACCACACTCGTACATCATGTATACGGATTGTAATAACTTGTACGGGAAGGCCATGTCGGAGCCGTTACCTATGGGTGGGTTTCGGTGGGTGGAGAATCCACACACATTTGACATAACCAATGTCTCCAAAGACGGAGACTTGGGGTACGTACTGGAAGTAGATCTGGAATACCCAGACGAACTTCACGACAGTCATTCCGATTACCCTCTCGCACCGGAGCGAAACAAAATCCCCGACAAAGAATTGTCACCGACCAGTAAACAGCTATGGAAAACTTTACATCCCAGCCCGAAACACACCGTTGACAAATTACAAGGGCGTGTACCGACAAAAAAACTGATTCCAACATTAGAACGCAAGACGAAATACATCTGCAATTACAGAAATTTGCAGTTGTACGTGGGATTGGGTCTCAAAGTCACCAAAATCCACAGAATCCTAGAATTCAAACAGAAACCTTGGTTACGCCCGTACATACAATTCAACACGTCAAAAAGAGCGGCATGTACGAACGAGTTCGAGAAAGATTTCTTTAAACTCATGAACAATGCCGTGTTCGGTAAGACGATGGAGAACGTGCGCTCCAGAGTCGATATCAAGCTAGCACACACGGAAAAGAAACTCAAAAAGTACGTGGCCAGACCTTCATTTCAAAGGTTTACTATCTTTAACGAAGATTTAGTAGCCGTTCAAAACGACCAAGTCAAACTCGTACTAAACAAACCAGTGTATGTAGGACAAACCATTCTAGATCTGTCCAAGTGTATCATGTACGAGTTTTATTACAAGTACCTAAAACCGAAATAAGGAGATGGAATCAAGCTACTCATGACGGACACGGACAGTCTTTTGTACCACGTCCAATGTCCGGACGTCTATGGCGACATGTATCGGGACAGACATCTGTTTGATCTGTCCAATTATCCGATCAACCATCGTTGTCACGATACAAAAAACAAAAAGATACCGGGATATTTCAAGGACGAAACGGGAAGCGAGCCCATTGCAGAATTCGTAGGACTGCGTGCAAAATTGTATTCGTACGTGTACGCCGTAAGAAATAGAACTGAAGTAGAAAATCTGGTTGTCCTATGGAACGACATAAAAGAAAAACAGGTAGCTAAAGGTATCGCAAAGACGACCATTAAACATGATCTAAGGCACGAAGTGTATAGAGACTGTTTATTCGAAAACAGGATTAAAATGTGTCAAATGAAATCGATTAGAAGCGATAAACATCAACTGTACGTGTACACCGTCAACAAGTCGGGCCTGTGTGCCTTCGATGATAAGCGCTGGGTCTTACCCAATCGGTGCGATACGCTCGCTTTCGGTCATTACATGATTTCTACAATGGGTCGGTATTAACAACTCAAAACAGAAATGTAGATTTACAAATATTTATTTCAAATGTCGGACTGAATTCGTCATGCGAAATACCGTAAAACTTATAAGTCTCGTTCCGTTTAAATACAATATTATTAATGCTGTATATCCAGAAAATTATATTTAAGAACTAAAGTATTTAAACAATTTCAATTAAGTTTCCAATAAGTTTTAAAGTCTACCTTTAATTAAGTTTTAAAATAAAGTTTTAATTTAAAAAAATAAAAGTTTCAAATATTCAAAAACAAAAGTATTTAAACAGAATAGTTTCGATTAAGTTTTAACAACTTGAGTTACATTTAATTGAGTTTTAAAAAATAATGTTCCATTTCATTAAGTTTTAAAAAGTTTAAAAGAAATAAAGTTCAATTTAATTAAGTTTAATAAATAAAGTTCATATAAAGATTATACATACACATTTTTGTATTTCAAAAAGAAAATGTTTCAAGTTGTATTTCGAAAGGGAAATGTTTTGAGTTGTATCGATTGAAATTTGTTGTCAATACAGAAAAGTAAGCCTATATTCACGTGTATATAGATCATATGTTATGCATTACTATATTTCAATTGAAACAAACTATTTAAAGTTGAAGTATGAGAGATATCATTTAAAGTTGATCGAAGTATGAGAGACTTCATGTGAAGTTTGAAGGGTATGAGAGGCATCATGTGTATCACAGACTGTAGTGTTTCTTAATAGTTTTATAGTATGAGAGATTTTCATCTGAAGTAAAAATAAAATGTATGAGAGAAGTCATTTAAAGGCTTCATGGTGGTTATATATTATACATATATGTCGCTGTAGTTCATATTTAAAATTAATGTTTTAAAATAAAGTTCAAGTTTAAAAGTTCAATTAAAATAAATCAATTTAAAAATAAAGTTCACATTGAAAGATTCAAGTTAAGTTTTAAAGTTTATTTAATATTACAGTTTAAGAAAAAACAGAAGTATGAGAGACTAACAAAAAACAGAAGTATGAGAGACATCATTTAAAGGTTACATGATGATTGTATATTTTAAAGTATGAAAGACATCATGTGGCACAACACTGTAATTCTAAAGTATGAGAGATATCATTTAAAGGTTATACAGCATAATACTGTAATTCTGAAGTATGAGAGACGTAATATACATGCGTACTTAATGTTGTGTTTGACATTTTTTGAGTTGTATCAGATTGAAATTTGTTGTCAATACAGAATTGTAAAACTATGTTCATATAATTATGACATGCATGTTGACGGTATACATACCGATATTATGAATAAAATGATAGTTAAATCAAAAGTTGTTTACTTCAATTCTCCCTACATTCCGACATACAATCTAGCACCGTCTGATCATAGAGACCAAAAACGGCTTCTACTTTACAGTAATATCGATGTCTCTTCAATATGTTCATGTGGGAACGAACTCTCCCATATTTGAACTCTACAACACTATCTATGAAAAAACATTTATCGTCTCTGAACTCCGGATAACGCCTCTTTATGGCTTTTACAAGATAACGATAGATGACGGATCGGCAGATGTCGACCTCATGGCAACCAAATAAAATACTGATGAAGCATAAATTAGTTGCATAGTACGATCTATCTCTAAATAAAATATCCCCATTTAAATCGATAACGCTCTTAATGAGGCGTTTTTGATACATACTTGTAAGAGACGTTGATATGATACAATTGGTACTGTAATGAATGCTGTAGATTGGTTAGCTAATTGGTTGACTCTTATTGCTAAGACAGTTCGGAAAAAGTGTCTGTGAATCTTCCCAGACACCTGTAGCTGGTTGCTACTACTTTGAAATATCAAATTAAAATATTAATGGGTTTTTTTATTTTAGAAAAGATGAAAAATAAACTCCAGTTTAAACTTAATATAAAATGAAATTGAATTTAAAGTTCAAAAAAATATCTGAGAATCTTCCCAGATTTCTGGTTGTTGTTGCTGCTGCTGTTGTTGCTGTGGCCACTGTGGTTGTGGCTGCTGCGCTTGTTGTTGTTGTGGCGGCTGCTGTTGTGGCTGCTGCTGTGGCTGCTGTTGTTGCGGCGGCTGCTGTGGCTGTTGCGGCTGCTGTTGCGACGGTTGCTGTTGCGGTTGTTCCTGTTATATAAAATTAATCTGATAGCAATGTTTCATTTCATTATCCGTCAATAGATTATGCGTGCTTTTACTCTCACATACTTACATTAATGAGGTGTAGTCGTTTCTGAATTTGACCCATGATCTCACTCAGCTGCTGCCATTCTTCCCATTTCATGGGCAGATATCGGTCCTTCCTATTGATGTGTGCGTACACTTCCCCATTCCAAACATTTGTAGAAACCGTTAAATACTTGTTAACGCGGCAATCCAGTTTGATTTTTTTCGTACCATCCTTTGCGGACTCAATTAGGCGAATCTCACCATATGTTGTTTCCCCATCCATGATGTTTATTTCACTAGTCACCACAGTTTTAGCGCCAAAAGTGACCGTTAGCCGTGTTGGCGCGCTTTTTATATAGCCTGCTTAGGTGTGATAGGGATAGAATCGGAACGACCAATGAAAAAGTTTACGGAATGTTGAACATGTCAGTTTTCTTAAGAAGGCGTATTAATTTTTTAAGACGTGACATACCTCAACTGACTGAGCGTCGATGCTGGTCTTGTAAAAAAAAAAATGAATTCTGGGCGTGTTCCGATTCTATACCTCAACCGGTTGACTAGGCATCGTTGCTGAACTTGCAAAATTTTGGAAACTAGGATATTTTTTCTCACAACACTCTTGCGTCATTAAAAAAAATAAAAAAATGCATATAAACAATGAATTGATAAATTAGACGGTGTCAGCATTCAAATTACTTTCATTAATGGGTAGATATAAGAGTTATGTGTATTAACTACAGCTCGTGAATAAATGTGGACGTATTTTTATATCCATAATCCCGCATCAAAGAGTAATATTTATATTGAATGTTTAACCCCGAGTTATCTCTTTCTTGGCTTATCACCTCCAATATGGCGTAATACTACGACAGTACCTGATTTATCACCTCCACTTTATACTAATTATTCAATCGATGTAGTTATTACTTTAAATACAAAGGAACTAATCAAGTGATATTTTTATATCCTCTATGCTAGTCAGATGATCTTTTTTGCCTATTCTATCACTTCAATTTATACTATTTTTTTCCCAATCGATAAAGTCATTATTCTTAAATTATTTCAACCGGACGCTTCCGGGCTGACCTTTCGGGTGACCGACTGACCTTTTGTGATCATTCATAAAACGCACGTGCAAAGCGTGAAACGGTGACTTTGACCAATACAACAAACATGGCGTATCTGCCTGCGGTCTTACTGCTGTTTCTGTCGTCCCTGTTGGTGATACATTGAAATATATCTAAGTTGTCTTCCCTTGAGATCATTTGAATGTCTATAACATTTGATATAAGAAGACCATTTTATTATATTTCAACCATTAATTAATCTTATGAATTCTTCAACCTGGCATATATGTGAGTTGTCTCCCTTAGATCATTAAGTTTTGTCTTTCTTGTTTACAGTCTCCATTACAGTTGATGATGAAGGTATGTTCATTTGATTTGAATCAAGTGGTTTGAAATCCAATTAATAATTAGTTAATTCTTTATATTTTCTATATGGATTTAATCTGTTGTTACTTTTGTTTCTACTAATATTTATATTAATTATAACAAGAGATCGTCTCGACTCCCATCTCCATTTATCACATCTATCAATCAAGTCTTGGTAGATGTGATTTTACAGGCTTTGGACTGTCTGACATAAAATATCAGGCTGGATTAGAGTCAACCGTCCGTCTGTCAAGTCGATCTTTAATAGTGATAACACAAATTTAAACGTTATAAAACACTATTGATGTATTTATTACGGCAGGTCTAAATTCGGTTTCATTTAATTCAATATTAAAGGTGCCATAGGCCATAATCACTTTCACCTCTTCAAATAATCTCAATTTCAACACAGTCTTTCTGTCTTCTTTAACACGAAAACAGAGTTTCCAATAAGTTTTAAAGTCTACCTTTAATTAAGTTTTAAAATAAAGTTGTTAGATTACAGTGTTAGGCATTCGTCTTTTCACTTGATGGTACGTTCTGTCACAGCTTCATCTTTATATCGACGGTCGTACCATCTAGGTGTTTTTCTCGTATTATTTACTGTTTGGGGTTGGCTCGTATCACCGTGTCATTCAGGTCAGATTATAACGTTCTGACACGGCTTCATCTTTATATCGACGGCCGTACCACCTACTAGGTGTTTTATCACCGTGTCATTCAAGTTAGATTACAGTGTTAGGCATTCGTCTTTTCTCTTGATGGTACGTTCTGTCACAGCTTCGACGGCCGTACCACCTAGGTGTTTTTCTCGTATTATTTACTGTTTGGGGTCGG